TTTTTATGACTTTTAGAGACTTTAATAAAAGTCTTCATGGTACTAACTTTTAAACAGAAAGCACTCAAATAAATTCTTTAAATTTGTCTATCGTTAATCACAAGATTTTGAGAGACTTTCACAAAAAAAAGAATAAATTAATATGTATTTTTCTTTCATTTTCCTTTCTACAAATATTAGAGTTATGATTAAAATTTATTTTTTTCTATTGATTGTATTAGTTTCTATTTTTCTTTCTTTCTCTTATTGTTTATTTCTATTTTATATGAAAACATTAAGCCCCTGTTTGATACACATTAAAATTTTCATTTTCATTTTTCTACTCATTTTCAACCACACATTCTTCAATAAAATAATATTTTTCATCACATCAATAACTTTTCATTCTTTTTCAACCATACATTCTCCATCAATCTATTATTCCAAAATNTATTATATTAATAATATTGAATATTAAATTTATTTTTTGAATTGAATACACCCCCATTAGCCTAAAAAACTTTTGAATTTTTAAATACTCTACCAAATTTTGAAAGTGTTTGTTTTCGAAAATATTTGAAAAATTGTGAGAAGTTGAGAACCACACTTTTTACTTGTTCCAACAATTGTACTTAAGATCCTCATTATTCGCTCATTATAAAATTTATATATCTAACATTTTTGTCGAATTCTTATATTTGCTCTTTAAATGTGATGCACATAATTAAAATTGTAACGTGAATCAAATTAGCTCAAAAATTATAGTGTGAATATAATTACCTTTGGTAAAAGTGGCCAATTTCAAATATCAAGAATACCCTTCTGAAAAAAAAAAAATTGCCCACTCTTTGTGTGGATAGATTTCATAATACTTGAGAGTTGATGCACGTCTTGAGACTAATATGAGTGTTGGTTATAAGAATTTTGAGGTCCTAGGCGTTTAATTATTATGAGTCATTTAAACATTTTCTTACAAGCATAGTAATATCTAAATATTTAAACAAATAATATATTAATATTTAAATGAAGACTTTGTACAATTCAAAAAATAGAGTAGCAAAATAATAATCTTTCACGATCTGAGAGATTATGTAAGTATAATACTTAGCATTCTCACGTTTGAGATGCAAAATTAGCAATCAAAATACTCAAATCAAGTTTTTCAACATAATTTTTTTTTTTTTTGGCTAGAAATCATACATTTTGTAATAGTGTTATGATGGAGAATGTGTGGTTGAAAAATAAGAAAAGAGTTTTAAATTTGTGTATAATATTATTTTATTAAAAATATGTGATTGTGAATTTGTGATGGAATCAAATCATTGTTCAAGAATGCATTTTGTTGGAAAAATGGGGATCAAACAAGGGCTAATTTTACTATATTGAAGAACCCGATAATCGTTTTTTTTTTTTTCCTTTAATTTGTCTTATTTTTTCCATAGAAATTCGTTTCTCTTCTAGGCCATGGAACCCATCATTAAAGCCAATGGTTCTAAATATTAAAATCATTAAAAATAATTTCATCTTGTAACCACCCAAAGAATTTGATTAATCTCCCAATTCGATTGGTGCAAATAATTCGAATCCAATAATATTTAGGTTGTCTCCCTTCCCACAAAATTGGGTGCTCTTTAGGACCCAAACCCAAAATCCGAAGGCCTAAAGGTCTTATAAATCAAATATTTTCCCACTAATTTTCCTACTTAGGACAAATGTTAACCAAATTCAATCAAATTCTTACCATTTGCAGTTCAAGCGATGACTTCGAATCAAAATATTTTATTCAAAACATTATGTTTCTCAACAAATAAATATGTCATTTTAATAAACTTGCCGAGTAAAATATGAATATTCTTGGTTCATTTAATTTCAGAATTTCCGTCTCTTCTTTTCATCAACACATTTTTCATTAAAATAATATTACACGCAAATTCAAAAAATTTTCTTATTTTTTAACCACGCATTCTCCACCAGTTTACTATTCCAAAATACATTCTTAACCCAAAAATAGGGTCAAAACATATCTTAAAATGGAGCTCAAAGTAGCTCCCTAAAAAATATTTTTCAATGGTTTTGACTTGGATAGTTTTTCTTTGAAATCCATGGAAGAATCATTCATAAAAGAAACAAGATAGATACCATCTATGTTGTGGTGAAATTGTCTTGCGAGTGGCTCTGTCCCTACCTCAAACAAGGAAGCCATAACTTTGCCTATTGAGAATTGAGACCATTTCATCTGTTTGTCCACAGAATCTTCGTTAAGATAAATATTAATACTAAAAAATAAAAATAGACGGAAACTAACGACACAAAGATGTACATTAAAAAATTCAGAATCGAAGAAAATCACTGACTGTCAAAGACAAAGATATTTCATTATATTAAAAATTTGTACAATCATATAAAATTTACAGTCCAAATCAACAAGCACATTCGAAAATATAATACCAAGCGAGACTACAAAAGGTTCTCAAATCTTATCCAAAGATAGTCCACGAATATTTCAAACTTAGGATAAATCAAAATATTAATGGATACAAAAAGAGGCCCTTTTGATTTCTATATGATATAGGATTCATACCAATCTTGCAAGAAGCTAAAAATTATATTCTATTTAGGAATATCAAGCCAAAATCCTAACAGATTAGACCACATAAATGGAGGGCGGAGTGAAGTTGATAAAAAAAAAATATATATATAAATAAATAAAAAATTAGTTATTTGATACATGGATGTGTTTGATAGATATAATTGAGGAAATAAAAGTTATTGATGTGAATGAAAATATTATTTTGTTGAAAATGAGTTTTAAAAGAATGTATTTTGAAAAAATGTATATCAAACAGGAGCTTGAGGCAGGCTCGGACTAAAGCCCATGCCTATTCCCCTCGCTCCGAGCCTCCACCCCGTGCATAAAGGTAGCAAAGGTACAAACAATAACACATTGTTTGTCGTAGCTATATTTGTGATTGGCTCGGCATATTCACCATAGTCTTGTGGTCATCTCATATACCTAAAGGAACAGAACAACTCTTCTCAAACTTTGCCTTGTTATGTTTAGACCTCATAAAATATTAGTATTGTTTCTCATATAAATAATCATACATAATTGAACTACGTGACATGTGTTGAGGGCCCTACACCTTACATGACAATGTGGATGACACTTAGTGGTGTCAAATGAGCCGAGCGGCTTGTCGGCT